ATGGGGATCCAGGCCAACTCCATCAGGCATAGAAAGGTGATTTTTAAGCGAGGCATCTGATCATAAAGATCTTTCTTGTGGCCATACTGACAGTGGACTATAGTATATGGGGGGCAGGAGTGGGAGCAGGTATGAGTCTAGTACATAGTCCACAAACCAAAGAGACCACTGCTTGATTTTCTTTTCCTAAGAAATAAGCAGATTAAATGCCTCTACCTGCCTCTGGTAGCATAGTGGCTAAAGCACTTGACTGCTAACCAGAAGGCTGGCAGTTCAAACCCACCAGCCACTCCTCAGAAGAAAGGTTGGGCAATCCTACTTCCGTAGTGATACTGCCTCGGAAACCCAAGAAGGGGTCGCTATGAGTCGGAGCCGACTCGACGGCACATAACAACAACAACAACAACAACCTGCCTCCTACCTTGAACACTGCAGTGGGGAGTTAATGAATTTATCACTGATCTGTTGGCCTAAGCAATTGACTATCAGATTTGGGGTAGCAGCAAACAAGCAGGAGAGGCCCTACTTCCCACACAATATCTTATCACTGATAAGAACAGTATGACCACTGCAGCCAGGTGTACAAAGGGAAGGCTAGAGCCCATTTACCAGGGAAAGAACAACAGCTTCCCAGGCTCTGGGTGCCTAGCTCAACTCCTTCTTGGCCTCCATTGCTGATGGGACATTGCTGATGGGCCAAGATAAATCCCTGTCAACCAGAACAGGAGGGTAACCAGCGCACACACTGATCAACAGGTAATATTGCAGGAATAGCCATGGTGTCACAGTGGTTCAGTACTCGCTTGCTAACCAAAAGATCTGTGGTTCAAACCTATCAACCACTTAGCAGGAGAAAGATGTGGCAATCTGCTTCCGTGAAGATTTTTTTTTTTTTAGTTAGGTGCCATCAAGTTGGCTCAGACTCATAGCGACCCTGTGTATAACAGAACGAAACACTGCCAAGTCCTGTGCCAGCCTCATAATCCTTGCTACACTTGAACCAATCATTTGAGCCACTGTGTCAATCCATCTCATTGTGGACCTTCCCCCTTTTTCATTGACTCTCCACTTTACCAAGCATGATATCTTTCTCCAGGGAGTAATTCCTCCTGGAAACATGACCAAAGTAGGTGACACAAAATCTGGCTATTCTCACTTCCAAGGAACATTCCAGCTGCACTTTTTCCAGGAGAGATTTGTTAGGTCTTCTGGCAGTTCATAGTACTTTCAGTATTCTTGGCCAACACTACAACTCAAAAGCCTCAACTCTTCTTCAGTCTTCCTTATTCATTGTTCAACTTTCACCTGCATAAGAGGCAACTGAAAATACCATGGCTTGGGTTAGGCACACCTTAGTCTTCTACGAGACATCTTTGCTCTTCAGCACTTGAAAGAGGTCTTGTGCAGCATATTTTCCCTGTACAACACGTCATCTGATTTCTTGACTGCTGCTTTCATTAGTGTTGATTGTGGAACCACATAATGTGATATCTTTGATAATTTCAATCTTTTCTCCATTTATCATGATGCTGTTTATTGGTCCAGTTGTGAGAATTTTCATTTTCTTTGTGTGGAGATGTAAGCCATACTGCAAACTGTAATCTTTAATCTTCATCCATAAGTACTTCAAGTCATCCTCACTTGCAGCAAGCAAAGTTGTGTCGTCTGCATATCACAGGTTGTTAATGAGTCTTCCTCCAATTCTGATGCCACATTCTTCTTTCTGTAGTTCAGCTTCTCAGATTATTTGTCACCATATAGATTGATTAAGTATGGCAAATGATACAACCCTGATGCACTCCCTTCCTGATTTTAAACCGGGCAGTTCTGTTTGAATGACAACCTCCTGGTCTACGTACAGGTTCCTCATGAGCACAATTAAGTGTTCTGGAATTCCCATTCTTCTCAATGTTATCCATAATTTGTTATGATCCACATAATCAAATACTTTTGCAAACTCAATAAAACACAAGTAAAAATCTTTCTGGTATTCTTTACTTTCAGCCAAGATCCATCTGACATCAGCAATGATATCCCTCATTCCACGTCCTCTTCTGAATCCAGCTTGCATGTCTGGAACTTCTCTGTTAATATACTGCTACAACCATTTTTAAATTATTTTCAGCAAGATTTTTCTTGCATGTGATACTAATATTGTCCTGATAATTCCTGCATTCTGTAGGATCACCTTTCTTTGGAATGGGTACAAATATGGATCTCTTCTGGTCAGTGGGCCCCATAGCTGTCTTTCAGATTTCTTGGCATAGACAAGTGAGTGCCTCGAATGCGGCATCTGTTCATTGGGTATTCCATCAATTCCTGGAGCCTTGTTCTTCGCCAGTTCCCTCTGTGTAGCTTTAACTTCTTCCTGAAATGGATGAACATTGACCAATTCTTTTTGGTATAGTGACTCTGTGTATTCCTTCTATCTTCTTTTGATATTTGCTACATCATTCAATATTTTGCCCATAGAATCTTTCAGTATTGCAACTTGAGGCTTGAATTTTTTCTTCACTTCTTTCAGCTTGAGAAATGCCAAGTGTGTTCATCCCTTTGGTTTTCTAACTCCAGGTCTTTGCACATTTCATCATCATAATTGATTTTGTCTTGAGCTGCTCTTTGAAATCTTTTATTCAGCTCTTTTGCCTTATCATTTCTTCCATTTACTGTAGCTGCTCTCCTCCATTCAAAGGCAAGTTTCAGAGCCTCCTCTGACATCCATTTTGGTCTTTTCTTCCTTTCCTGCCTCTTTAATGACCTTTTGCTTTCTTGTGGATGATGTTCTTGATGTAATCCCACAATTCCTCTGGTTTTCGGTCATTGGTGTTCAGTGCATCAAATCTCTTCTTTAAATGGGCTCTAAATTCAGGAGGGATATAATCAAGGTCATATTTTGGCTCTCGTGGACTTGTTTTAATCGTGTTCAACTTCAACTTGAATTTGCATATGAGCAGTTGCTGCTCTGTCCCACAGTCAGCTCTTGGCCTTGTTTTGGCTGAAGATACTGAGCTTCTCCACTGCCTTTTTCCACAGATGTAGTCAATCTGATTCTTCTTGTGTACTTCATCTGGTGAAGTCCACATGTATAGTTGCCATGCATGTTGTTGAAAACAGGTATTTGCAATAAATAAGTCATTGGTCTTACAGAATTCTATCATGTGATCTCCAGTGTCATTTCTATCACCAAGGCCATATTTTTCAATTACCGGTGATTCTTGTTTCCAACTTTTGAATTCCAGTCACCAGTTATAATCAACACATCTTCATTGCATGTTTGGTCAATTTCAGACTGCAGAAGTTGGTAAAAATCCTCAATTTCCTCATCTTTGGCTTTGGTGGTTGGTGTGCAAATTTGAATAATAGTATTAACTGGTCCTCCTTGTAGGCATGTGGATATTATCCTATCACTGACAGCATTGTACTTCAGGATAGATCTTGAAACTTTCTTTGTGACAATGAATGTCATGCCATTCTTCTTCAATTTGTCATTCCTGGCATAGTAGATCATATGATTGTTTGATTCAAAATGGCCAAAACCAGTCCATTTTAGCTCATTAATCCCTAGGGGTATCGATCTTTGTGTGTTCCATTTCATTTTTGACAACTTCCAATTTTCCTAGATTTGTACTTCATACATTCCACATTCTGATTATTAATAGTTATTTGAAGGTGTTTCTTCCCATTTTGAGTTGTGCTTCATCAGCAAATGGAGTTCCCAAAAGCTTTACTCCATCCACATCATTAAGGTTGACTCTATTCTGAGGAAGCAGCTCTCTCCTAGTTATATTTTGAGTGCCTTCTGACCTGAGAGCCTCATCTTCTGATACTATATCAGACAATATTTCAGGGATAGTCATGATGTTTTCTAGTAATATCAGACAGTGTTTCACTATTCATAAGAATTACTGGGTAATTCTTTGAGAAGTAGATGGCCCCTTCCTTCTTCTGAGTGTGTCTTAGTCTGGAAGCTCCACTGAAACCTGTCCACCATGGGTGACCTCCTGGTTATTTGAAATACTGGTGGCATAACCTCCAACCTCACAGCAACATGCAAGTTACCACAGTATGACAGACTAACAGACAAGCAGTGGCTGGAAAGATTTACAGCCTTGGAAATTGTGTAGTGAAGTTCTATTCTGTTCCTGTAGGGTCACTCACTATAAGTTGGAATCAACTGGATGGCAACAAGTTTGAGTTTGTTTTTTGGTTTAGTTATGGTGCCAAGTAGCCTTAAGGTGACAATGAGTGATAGATGACCTTGTTGCAATAAGGTTAAATGAGGGTGGTGGGGAATGTGTGTGTGTGTGTGTTTTAGGTTGATTCTCATTCTTTTATAGCTCCAGTCTCCATACTCTAATGAGTTAGCAGTGTGAAGGGTTACTGATGAATTCAGCTGCTCCACAGAGCCAGACTCCATATTTTGTGGGTTGGGAGTAGAGAGGCAGAGAGTTGAGTCGGTGATAGTGGCTAAGGCTGGAAGAGCGGCCTAAAGAGGAATGTCAGCATATTGGGGATGAAGACTAATGCCCTAGGTCACCAGATTGACATTTTCCTGGTTGTGGAGAACATGGATGAGGGAATCAGCACTCACTGAGTCATAATCCCTGAGAGGGTAAGAGTCTCCAGGTATTTTCTGCTTGGCCTGGCTTGGAGGTCACTGGTCTGGTCCAACCTCTTTTATGTTACCAATGGCTGATGACTTGTCCAGGGTTTCCCAGTGAGTTGGTGACATAGTCAAAACTAGAACCCGTATATTCAGGTATCCTAGCCTCCTGAATCTTTCCATCACATAAGGTTGTGGTGGGGAAAGGAGGGGAGGGAGAGTGTCTGGTACTATAACAGGACCTGGGCAGAAGGACAGAGCCCAGTTTGACATTCAGAATCTGGGGGAAAATGCCCACTCCTGCCTAAACCTGTGAAGGTGACAATGTAATGCTGAGTGCATTTTGTGTTTCAGAACCCACCTGAAGGAAACAGAACATTTTTCATTTGTTGCCACAATGCTGTCTGCTCGCCTCTTCAGACCCCTGTCACAGCTTCCAGGGAAAACCCTGAGTTTCTATGACAGAGAAAATGGAATGAGGTAAGACACTGAGGGTAGAGATGGCTTTGAAGGTCACACATGGGTGGTACAGGTAGTGATCAGGCCTGACCCTCAGAGATGTCTCTCACATTCCCAGCTGTCTGCCAGCAAAGGAAATTCAAAGGTGTCCACAGAAGGTGGAGACATTCCCAGGTACACAGGACAAAGATGAATATATTTCATAACCGCTTTTTTACAAATGCATTATTTGGAAACTTATCATTTGCAAAAATATTACAAAGCATTTCTATATACCTTCCCCAAATATTAACATCTTTCAAAACCATAGTGTAATGATCAAAACTAGGAAATTACTATTCATATAATGCTATTAACTAAGCTATAGACCTTATTCAAATCTTGCCAAACATCTCACTGATATCCTTTTTCTGGTCCAGGATCTAATCCAGGATCCCAAATTGCATTTAATTGTCATGTCTCCTTAGTCTCTTTCTATCAGGAACAGTCCCTCAGTCTTTATCATTCATGATCTTGACACTCTGGAAAACTGTTATTGTTGTTGTTGTCGTTATGTGCTGTTGAGTCGGACCAGACTCATAGTGACCCCTCCTTGGGTTTCCATGGCAGTATCACTATGGAAGTAGATTGCCCAACCTTCCTTCTGAGGAGTGGCTGATGGGTTTGAACTGCCAGCCTTCTGGTTAGCAGTCAGATGCCTTAGGCACTACACTACCAGAGCTCCTCTCTGGAAAACTACTGGTCAGTTATAGACTGTCTCTCAGTTTGCCACCACTCATCTGTGAGTTTGCATAGTGTGGTCGCTTGTGTGTTGCTGTGGAACTGGCATTTTTCTGGAAATTATGCTACCAGTATTTTCCAAATACTCATCATGGATGGGTTTCAGCAGAGATGTAAGACTAAGACAGACTAGGAAGAAGGACCTGGTGGTCCAATTCTGATTTTCCCCATGAAAATCTTATGAATAGTAATGGAACATTGTCTGATATCATGCCAGAAGAAGAACCCCTCACGTTGGAAAGCATTCAAAATAAGACTAGGGAAGAGCTGCCTCCTCAAAATAGAGTCAACCTTAATGGCATGGATGGAATAAAGCTTACAGGACCTTCATTTGCTGATGTGGGATGACTCAAAATGAGAAGACACAATGACAAACATTAATTAATAATCAAAATGTGAAATGTACAAAGTATTTGTTGTTGTTGTTGTTGTTGTTATGTGCCATCGAGTCAAACCCAACTCATACAAAGTATTAGTCTAGGAAAAATGGAAGTCATCAAAAATGAAATGGAACACAAAGATCAATATCCTAGGCATTAGTGAACTGAAATAGAGTGGTATTGGCCATTTTGAATCAGACAAATATATGGTCTACTCTGCTGGGAATGACAA